CGTTTGGAGTATAAATGCTAGCAGGTCTGGATAGTCTGTTTCTGAGCTGTACCATCTATGTGTTAAAAGGAAGCTCAAGTTTTGTTGTCGGGAGTCCATTTATTGACAGGTGCAACACATAGCAGGGATTAGTGCACTGTGATTAAAACTGCACTGCGTGAAAATCTGCGATTGGCACAGAAATTAATTTCACTGTCCATTGTTGCTACATTATATCCCGCCCACACTTTACATAACAACAGTAGTTTTTGACTGCAGTAATCACTTTCTTCACTGCTCACACATCGGGATCACTTGTTTTAGAAAGGATAGATTTTGTGCAGGAGCTGACTGGAATAAAGTCCCCTTTAAGCTGTGCCGATGGATACGGTTTCCAAAAACAATTTCTAGTTGGATCTGAGAAAACAATCATTGAGGAAAACAGATTAAGATGATCAAATAGATTCCTTCCACAGGATAAATACAATCTGCTATATTGTGAACTCCACCAATCCCATTATACTGCATCACTAACAGCAGTACTGCTACCAACAACAGGTTTGCCTGGCTAATTTTCCATTATCTGTCCAATTTAATTGAAATTAATTTAAATATTAAATCTTTAATACATGTATGAATATGTGTGCGCAGCGAAAGGGATCCAAATCAAACTTTGTGGAACTCTACTGGTAATTACTTTTGAACGTAGAGCTTTAATACTTTCTCAAGTTCTACTCAAATTCTGTCCAATTTAACAGCGGCTTGCATTTATTCATCTCAGAGTACATTATATAAAGCCTACATTTATTAAAATAAAATCTGGACCAAGGAGGAAGAGAATCGCAGTTGAGACTTAATTCGATCTCCGTCCAACATCCTCTGTGCACTTTCCAACAAGGTCACTGGATAACCACCAGAAATAAGATTCCTCTTGGTTCATATAAGGCCACTTGTTCATGCTTTTGCTGGCTAATTAAGTATACCATTGCTGTCCATCCCAAACTGAATCTGAAGGCTGTAACTCTCAGCTATATTGAAGAAATCACTACATTTCACTCCTCTAAGGGTTGTAACATGGTTTTGAAATTGGACAGAACTACACGAGCAATGGTTATAAGGCTACCGGTGAATGCTTCTGTGACCTTTGGGGAGGATTGCAAAGATTTTTCCCACCAAATCCGGAAAAATGTAAAAGGTAGCAATGGACATGTACACAAAAATGTACATTACAAATATATCTCAACTGGATATTGTCCACCTAGTCAATCAAAGGTGCAGTAGAAACTGTTGGTCAGAATGAAGTAGGTGTATTTGGGCTGTTGAGAATAAACTTGCAGAATGGATTTTGAGATGTGGTGAGTTGAAGGAACTAATTTGCCAAAAATGCAATCCGGTTTCACTAGAAAGACTTCAAAATACAAATGATATGAAACTAATTCATTCACATAATCTCTTTCACCTGCATTCTCTGCACCGATTCCTGATTGAAAATCTTGCCACTCAAACAAAAGCCACTGCAGGCTGAGTGTCCAGGGGTGTCTCCACTTTTGAGTCCTTATCTACATTAAACTGCGAAGCCTCTGCTTGGTGCCTCTCTCCAAATCAGAAACTATGGATGGTTAGGAGATCCTGGGTGTAAACATGTGTCACATTACCCAGTGGTGCAGTGTGCTGACATCATCGATAAGTGAGAGATAATAGTTCTAGAACAACGTGAACCAAGTTTTTTTAGATTGCTATAACTCACATGACACCTAACACGGTTTCCATGTTGGGCTCAGTGTCTGTAACCCACAATAGCTATCGAGCCCGTTGAGAACAGTCAATTGACAGGTGCAACTTTTTTTAATATAAAATTAAAACTGGATTAAGATTCCCTTAATATGTTCGTGACATTTCAGGAATAATTTCCCACCCCCCAACCCCCCCTGAAGCATAAATCATGTCTTGTCTTCAGGCCGTGCTTACGATTCAAATTTACATTTTGTTGATGCACAAACTTTAGAAATACAGATTTGGCTGGATTTCAGAGGATTACAGATTGTATCTAGTGACTCTCTTGCCTGTACAATTGTGCGCAAACCTCATCAAATAAGGTTTCTGAAACCGCACTGAGCAAATAACCAGAACTTTTCTGTGACATTTGAGATGTGATTTAACACAATCAAGGAAGGGCACACTTTACACAGTTAACTTGTTTTCAGATAATTTATGTAAATTGAACGAGTGTGAACTTTTGGACACATCAGGCATGGGATTAACTTTCACAATAACACCCAACCCTATCTCTCTGTCTTTTCCCTCGATTCCAGGACAAAAGCTAGCTGGCCTGATTGTCTGTCAGACATCAAGTCTTGGATGAGGACTAGATTCCTCTAGTTGACTGTCGACAAAACAGTTGTCCTGCCTGGCTCCCCTAAGCACCATTTCATCTCAGGCGCTGATAGCATCAATTTACATGCATAAACATTCCACCTCACCAAGCCAATGCGGAACTTCAGTGTCTTCTTCAACTCCCAACTATTCTTTAAAATCTCTGCTCTCTACTGCTCAGCTTTCCCTCACCTCCATAACATTGCCCGCCTCCATCAATACCTCTTTTCTCAGGCTGCCGAGACCCTAATCTACGCATTCGTGCCCTTGCCTGGATCAAATCCCATCTCTCTCACCATCTCCACTTTGTTGCCTCTAATGGTTTCTCCTCCAGTCCCCGCACTGTCACATCTGGCGTCCCCCAGGGCACTGTGCTTGGCTCTCTCCTCTTTAATATCTACATGCTCTCCCGTGGTGACATCATCCGCAGATATGGGGTCAACTTCCATATGTACGCGGATGACACCCAACTCCAGGACCACTGCTGTCCTGACAGACTGCCTGTCGGACATTAAGTTCTGGATGAGGACAAATTTCCTACAGTTGAATGTGAACAAGACTGAGGCCATCCTCACGCCAGGCCTTTGCACCTCAGGCTCTGGCAGCATCAACCTCCATGGTTGCACACTACAACTCACCAAGCCAGTCAGGAACCTCGGTGTCTTGTTCGACCCTCAACTGTCTTCCCTACATCCAAGCCATGATCCGCTCTGCCTTACCTCACCTCTGTAACATCGCCCAACTCTGCTGCTACCTCACGCCGCTGAAACTCTTGTTCGTGCCTTCATCACCTCCAGGCTCGACTATGCAAACGACCTGCTTGTCAGCCTTCGCAGTTCCTCCCTCCACAGGCTGCAGATAATCCAGAATTCTGCAGTCCGTGTCCTCTCCCGCACCAAACTCCGTGACCCCATCTCCCCCTTTCTCGTCCGACTCCATTGGCTCCCTATCCTTCAAAGGATCCAGTTCAAAATCCTGGTCTTCACCTACAAAGCCCTCAATGGCTTTGTCCCACCCTACCTCTGCGACCTCCTAACCCCCTACCACCGTGCCTGCTCCCTCTACTCTGCTGGCTCTGGCCTGCTCCACGGCCCCCAACCCACCTGACCCACCATTGGTGGAAGAGCCTTCAACCACTCTGCCCCAACCTCTGGAAATCCATCCTCCAATCACTCCGCCTTGTCCCCTCCTTAAGTCCCTCCTCAAAACCCTCCTCTTCAATCATGCCATCAGTCACCCCCCTTCCCCTCCCCTCCCTTCTCCATTCCTGACCCCAGCTCAGGTCTGAAATGCTGTACATTGTCCATGGCCTTGGGACATCCTCCCGACGTGAAAAGCCCTATACAAATGTAATCTTCTTGTTGTTGTTCATCATGTCCTGGCTAGACTATGCCAACTCTTGGCTTACTGGACTACCAAGTTCTTCCATTCATAAACTACTGACCATCCAGAACTCTGTAGCTTGTGTCCTTTCTCGTACTAGGCCCACGGCCCTATCACCCCTATCTTTGCCTGGTTCTGCTTGCTCCCCATTCCCCAGTGGATCAAGTTCAAGATCCTCATTTCACTTTTAAATCCCTCTATGGTGTAGTCCCACTCTACCTTTGCGATCTTTACAAGCCTTACATTACCTGCCGCACCATTAGCTGTCAGGCTTTCAGCCTATCTGCCCCGGTCTCTGGAGTCTCTATAACTCTCCTGTCGCCTCGTTCAAGGCTCACCTCACTACTGTTGCCTTTTGTTATCTTTCTTCTCCCCCCACACACCAGGTTCCTGTGCAAACCTTGGACTGTCCAGCTACTTGGCGTTCTCCCTGCTGTATAAATATCACTTCTTGTTATAACCCTGGACTATTTACTGTGCACGTTGTTGCTATAATAAACTGCGTTCTTTTAAAAGCTGAAACACAAGCGGAAGATTCTGAACCTGAGCCAGAACCATTGCAAGCCAGTGAGACCCATGCAGATTTAAGATCCGAACCAGGTAGGTTTTAGCATTAAAACTACTACTGTAATGTTCTTAAAACAAAACGAACAGAGATCAGCTTAAAACAATGTTATTGGATTTTCTTGGGAGTCTCATTGCCACCCGCAGTATTTACATGAAAACAGCACTTGTTCTCTGAGTAGAATAGGTGCAATGAGAACATGTGGCAACTCGACATCTGCTTTAGCAAGACCAGAAGACAAGCAACAATAACAAATTGCATTTATATAGCGCCCCTCACGGAGGGTAGTGTCCCAGAGCACTTAAAGCAATCTACCCCAGAACACTGAGAGAAAGTCCTTGTCTTTCTGATTAGTGCCAGGGGATCTTTAATGTCCACCTGAGCAGGCAGATAGGAATTTGGTTCAACATATCATCCAAAGACGCCACCTTTAACGTTGCAGCAAATCCCCAGCACTGCATTGGAGTATCAGCTTAGGCTTTGCGACCTCAAAATCCTGACCTGGGGCTTGAACCCACAACTTGACTCTGAGGCAAGATTCCTGCCAACTGAGAGCTTGACAGGCTGACAGTTTAATAGAGGGGTTTTATATTTACAGAATTGGGATAACGAGATGTTTCATTTAAGAAAAAGTAAAACTATTTAAATGTTTTGAGTTACTCCATTACTAATTGTTCACTAGAGGAGGCAGTTGAAGAAGAAGAAGAAGAAGAAGAATTAGAACCAGAATTGGCAGAGGAAACGGAGGAGATGTTGCTGCTGAAACAGGTAAACCTGATAAACTTTTAGTCACATATTTATAATCTATGACTGAAATACATGATTGGGTGGATATCTCGATCAGAGCAAGGGATATTTCTTAAATTTACTTTAAACAGTGAAACAATGAGTTTCCTATTATTTTCTCCAAAATTGTACAAATATGGATTTGGAGATGCATTGGGAAACTTGGGATACACAGTTCCCTGTAGAGGGCATTGGAAGCAACTTGAAGAAGCTGTTGGGTGCAGAAGCATATGAGCAGGGGGTGAAGAGAGATAGTGATGGTTTGAGGGGAGGGAACAGGGAGTGCGAGTTTGATAAATACTATATGTTTATAATAATCCTAGCAATTGATATAGCACCTTGTCATGTCCTTGAGACGTCTCAAAGCGCTTCACAGAATATACTCTGAAGAGAATTGATTGTGTATTTTGTGGGTGAAACACAGTAGCCAATTGCGCACAGCAGTGACCCACAAACAGTCATGGATTGAATGACCAAATTATTAATACTTTTATTAAAATTATTATTACTGCTGTGTGCAATTGGTTGCTGTGTTTTACCCACAAAATGTTAAGTGTAACATCCCTCAAATGCAGGGTAAAGTTTGCACCATTGATTCGGGCAATGTGCTGGAACCCCAGCCACACACAAGCACTCCCATGGTACAGCAGTGGAATGGGAAATGGAAATGTTACATTTATTCTTGTAATCTCTCCGAGGGCGATTTGCTAATTTGTACTGAATTTGTGGTGCTTTTGCATTAACTTGCATCTGCCTAGGAACTGAATTAAAATTGGCAACTTAACTTCATTTGGGAGAGTTGAGGCCAGCGAGCGAGGGAGGTCACAGAGAGATAGTATGTACTGTGGTCATACCCACTGTTGTTATCTTACTGTGACTACTTTTTTATTGAAGTTTTTTTCAAAAAAAATTGTTGAGCACTTGTCAAGTTAACATTCAGCCTATAGAGAGCACAGCATGGGATTCTCAGTTTGGTTTGGATATTCTTAAGCACACTGAAGGATTTCTGCACGTGTCAAGCACCCAACTGACCAAAAAAAAGAATACAATGGGGAGACTTGCTGAAGGTTTCTGATACTGACGTCATTGAAGACATGAGGAAGCTGTACAATAATTTATTTTCCTTTGTAGTCCTCCTGAATCAAACCAGGGACGCTTAATTGTAGAATATCTCCCACTTAAATGTGTGGATGGAAACTGTAGAGAAGTGAGTCAATATCAATGCCTCTTGTAGATCTGTGTAACGTTGCTCTATTTTGGGGGGCCTGTTGAATTTGTTGTTTAGCGATTACCAACAAATACAGAAACAAACAAGGTTTCGCCCACAAATATACACTTTACCGTATATTCTGTACAGAATACTAGAAGACGTGAATATCAAATGCAAGGATTATTATTATGATTATCAACATTGGAGGTGCTGCCCTTCGGGTGAATGTTAGACCCGTCTGCCAGTTCAGCTGGACTTTAAAGATCCCATGGTACTATTCGAAAAGAGAAGGGAGTTTCTCCCAGTGACCTCGCCAACTATCCCCAAATCAAATTGTTCACAGACTTCACTGCTGTTTGTGGGACATACTGTGGGCAAGTTAGCTGCTGCTTTCGCCTATAAAATATACAGTCACAACACTTCACAGTAAAATCCTGTGAAGCGCTTTAAGATCTCTCAACAACATGCTGAAGCACTACAGCAAATGCAAGAATGATTATTATAATGGTGATTTTGCTCTGAATCAACAGATGAGGTTGAACATGAAGAGCAAGAAGCTGAGTCTGAAGTAGCTGACATACCTCCAGGTATGTCCTTTGCACAGATCCAAATTTAATCCTGTATTTTTTTTAACATAAACTGTGTTTGTGAGGTTGCTCCTTCACATGGGTGTTTTTTTTGCAGCTGAACCTGAAGAGGTGGAAGAGGAGCCAGTCACTGAACATGCAGAAGCTGCAGGTTAGTGAGCGAGGGAAGACTGCAGCATTTGTTTTGAGTGGACGTTATATGATCAGGCTTAATAAGAGTGTGCATCACTTACAGGGGAATCCAAGGATGAAGTGGAAGAGGAAACACTGCCTGAACCAGCAGAGATCCTAGGTTTGTACTACACAGTGTTCTTGATGCATATTGTACCCAATTGACTTGAGTGACACATGAGTGCTCAGTGGCACAGCGTTGACAGAGTGATAGGATGTGGATTTGTACGTCTTTCTTTCCTTCCTCCACCCTCTGCCTGTCCCACTCGTCCATCCTACGCGAGTAGGTGCTGGGCACAGGCTGCTCTGTTTCTCCACACCAAAAGAAGGGTGAGTTTCACAGGCTACATCTCCAGTCCGATCTAGAGCAACTTATACCAACACCTTCAAAGAGGTGACAAGCTCAGTCACCTTCTCAGCTGGAGAATGCTGCCGTGCACAGAAGACCTAAAGAGGGGAATTTTCTTTGTATATTAATGCAATCTAATAAGAGTCCAAAGGAAGCCAACTGAGCATGGCTCTCAGTTCATCGCTGAGTATCTGTTTACTTTCAGAAGACTCTGAAGAGGAAGTTAGTGAAGTCACTGATCACGATGAAGCTGAGATTGCAGGTACTTTGCCTTGTATTTGCTCTGTATTAGCTGCCAGCTCTGGCCAAAGACCATTAAAATTATAGAAAGATTTTTTTTCCCAGCAGAATCTGAGGTGGAAGAGGATGAAGCTGACAACGAAGGTGATTTAGGTCTGTAGCCCTGTTTCTCAAGTTGTTAACGTAGTGAAAAACTGCACAGCACTGAGTGTGTTAACATACGCCTGTTGTGTCTTTTGTAGATGGAGCTACACTTGAGCCGGAAGAAGTTGTTTCTGAACGAGAAGAATCTCTAGGTCTGTGTGTGTTTATATATTTTTATTATAGTATAATTTGATATTTATAGTATAGTATTTCGCCCACAAAATATAGTGTCAATTCATTTTTTAGTATATTCTGTGAAATGCTTTGAGATGTTTTGAAGACGCGATAAGGCACTATATCAAATGCAAGTATTATTATGTTCAACTGGCTCCAGCCAGTACTGTTAAGCACTTTGGGATGTCCTGCTGACGTGAAAGGTGGTTTAGAAATATAAATTTGTATTGTGTTTTTAAAACTAAAACAGTTACTTGTGTTGGCCTAAAATATAGATGAACGTTTTACCCATCATTTTCAATCTTGAGGACCCTGTGTGTCTGCTTTAATTATGCCAGTAATTAACTCACACCCAGTTTTTACTATAAGCTTTGTTACAAGCTTTTTTCCATGTGCCTCAAAAAAAAGTTCCATTGTGAAAGTGAATACAATACAATTTACATTTATACAGCCGCTTTCACATCAGGAGGATTTTGCAAAGCTCTTTGAGATTCTGGTCTGATATTACAGCTAGTCAAACGTTGATCTTCCCTTTGTAACCTTGGTGTGGTTACCTATCATTACTGATGTTCTCCAACTGTGCCTTGAATGTCAAATAACCTGTAGTCTAAACCCAATTCAGAGTGTTAACTGGAGTCACTCTGGTCAGATGAAGTACAGTACCATCCGGTCTGTAAATGAGGGTGTCACATATTCAGTGTTTACCCGACAGCACAAGTGAGAGGAGGGAAACCACTTTTGTTTGTCATTTACTGTAACAATATATGGTCACCTCTTTGAAGGTGTTGGTCAAACAAGAAATATCGTGGCTAAACTTCTGCTTCAAGTGTACAACTGAAGTATGAACGGATGATAAATCACTGGGTGAGAAATTAACACAGGGACACATTGTGTTTTTTTTGCTACACATTCAACTTGTTGCTATAATAAGGAAAAACAATTCCAGGTAAATTTGCAGCTATACATATAGAATGATGGATACTGAATAATAATAATAATCCTTGCATTTGACACAGAGCCTCATCGAGTCGTTGAGACGTCTGAAACACTGCACATAATATACTGTAACGTGGATTGACTGTGTTTTGTGGGCTAGAAAATAAAAACCTAAATGGGGTAGAGGAGCAAACCGATTTTGGGGTACACATACACAATTCACTAAAAGTAGCGACGCAGGTTAATAAGGCCATAAAAAAAGGTAAACCAGGCATTGGGGTTCATTTCTGGAGGGATAGAAATGAAAACCAGCTAAGTTATAGTAAACTTCTAGAGAACCTTGGTTAGATCACACTTAGAATACTGTGTGCAGTTCTGGTCCCACATTATAGAAGGGATGTCGAGGCACTGGAGAAGATTCAAAAGAGATTCATAAAGATGATCCCAAAACTGAGAGATTATACCTATCAGGAAAGGCTGTACATGCTTGGACTCTTTACTCTTGAAAAGAGGAGGGTAAGGGGTGACCTGATAGTGGTTTTTAAAATTATGAAAGGTTTTGATAGGGTAGACATAGGGAAAACGTTTCCACTTGGTGGGGAGACCCAAATTGGGGGCCAGCAATATAAAATAAGTCACAAATATATCAAATAGGGAAGTTAGAAGAAATTTCTTCACACAGAGTAGTGGGAATGTGGAACATGCTACCACAAGGAGTTGTTGAGGCAGATAGCATAGATGTATTTAAAGGAAAGCTAGATATGTACGTGAGGGAGAAAGGAATAGAAGGTTATGCTTGAAGTCTTAGTTGAGGAAGGGCAGGAGGAGGCTCGTGTGGAGCATAAATACCGACATAGACCAGTTGGGCCAAATGGTTTGTTTCTGTGCTGTTTATTCTGATGTATTCTAAATGTGCCCTTCTCTGTTTTATATTTATTGCTCTCTTTTCAGGGGATTATGAGATTGAAGCGGAATCTCAGACGGAGAAGGATGATTCCGATCAAGTGGAGGAGGAGGAGCAGGACTCTGATCAGGTGGATGCAGACCTCTACAATCAAATGGCACAGGATTTCTTTGATCAAGGAGAGAGTGAAGGTGAAACTCTCATACTAACTTAATTGTAGAAAAGCAGTTTCTGAGCTCCATCATCCATCAACTGTTGGCAGTTATTGTTTAATGAATGTAGTTATTTCATTTAATAATAAGGAAAGGAGTTAATCAGTTCTAAAAGGGAGTTTAGGAGGAATTTCTTCATGCAGCGAGTGGGAATGTGAAACTCACTGCCAGAGGCTGTGATTGAAGCAGAAAGTATTAACATATTTAAGAAGAAACTTGATGCGTACATGAGGGAGAAGGGAATAGTACTGGAGAGAGGATTAGGAAAGGTCAGGTGGGGTATAAACACTGTCACGGACTAGTTGGGCCAAATGACTTATTTCTGAATTGTTCCCCATGCTGCCGCATCTCTAGACCTTCCGTTCGACCATGCCTACGGTCACCTCCCTCCGGCTCAATGTTCACGCTCCGCCACTGTCAAGCGCTCTGGGATGCTTCCCTGTGTGAGGGGCGCTACATAAATCGAAGTTGTTCTATGTAATTTATTTTAGGTGAGAGAGAAGACCAACTACTAGACAAGGACGAGCCATACGAAGGTTTGAGTTTGCTTTAATTGTGAATAGATTTGAGTTGAAGGTTTACGTGGCAAGTAACAGCAGGTGCTGGGCTCTGTCGTACCCTTGTTCAATATATTGAATTCTATGAACAAAGCTTCAGATGAATGCTGAAATGCTATGAATCCACTGCTCAGTTCAATTCAGTGCTTTGGGACGTCCTCCCGACGTGAAAGGCGCTCTCTAAGTGTAATTTTGTTGTTGTTGCTCTACATGGAGTCCTGTAGCTCAGTGGTTAGAGCACTCGCTTTGCAAGCGAGAGACCTGAGTTCAATTCCAGGCAGAGGGCGAAACCTTGGGCAAGTTTCATTACTCCACACGCCTAATAAGAATCCCTCCAAAAACAAAAAAAACAAAAGTAAATTGGTCATTTTCAATCTATGACTGTTTGTGGGACATTGCTGTGCGCAATTGGCTGCCGCGTTCGCCCACAAATATACAGTCAATTCACTTTACAGTGTGTTCTGTGAAGCGCTTTGGCTCCCGATGTGAAAAGCGCTATATCAAATGCAAGGATTATTATTATTATTACATACCCCTTATCAGCAGTGAGATTTGCACAGCTCAATCTGAATCTTTTACTGCCAGTCACACATGAGACACTTGTCTATCACTTTGTTTTCCTCCAGAGATGACTGCCCAGATCATTAATTCCAAATGTAATAAATAATACTTGTATTTGATATACAGTAGTGCTTTTCATGTCAGGAGGCTGTCTTAAAGCACTTCACCCGATGTACTGTAAAGTGTAATAATAGTGTAGTGTAGTGACTATATTTTGTAGGCAAACGCAACTTACCATTTGTGAATAGCAACATTTAGGTGTAGTTTTCAGTGTAAATGTCAGTAGATTTGCGCAGCATCCACAGCACTAGATTGTGAAAGTTATTTTATTTGTTTAAAAACAAGGTCCTCATGTTTCAGCTGAATCAACAGTGATCCTAAAATCCAGATTTGCTCAATTACATGGAAAAGTCACAGTGAATAAAAACTGCAGATGGATATGTGTCAACAGCTTACCTGAAATCTTGTTCTGCAGTAGACTAATATCTGATCATTGCTTTATAGAGTTGTATTGAAGTATTGAGTCCTAGGTAAATTTCACCTTGGCTTTATAGTCAAACCTTAAAAGACATAAAATACACAGTCACCACACTTTTCATAAATCCTGTGAAGCACTTTGAGATGCCCATCCGACGTGAATGCTGCTATATCAAGGCAAGATTATAGGATTAATGTTCAAATTCTTTGGCTATTTGTCTCATCGTCATCTTCGGTTGTTGGTGCCGTTCAGCTGCTGTCACTGACTTTATTCGTCTTTCTGTAAAGATGTTTCTTTCATGCGCAAAGGCACTTATATAAACATACACTGCCATTTACTTCTGCATTCATCTGATGGGCTTGCTGTATCATGGTGTTTGCAATCTAATCAAAAACAGCCACAAATATCTCAAGTAAAGGGATGATTTAATAAGAAAGCTTGGAATAAACGTAAGTCAATACGCCTGCCAAGCTCATTCATTACACAGAACACGTACAGTCTGCTGTGTCGTATGCTCTGCCCAACAACTTTAATCTCCTGAGGAAGAAGTTTGCCTTTCCCAAAGGGAAATTGAGCACAAAGCACACAGCATTATAATATGGCTTCAATCCTTTGTACATTGCTGACTGGTTGTTTTCCTTGGCCCCAGCAGTTCGGGAGCTAGGGTGTTTCTTAAAGGTTCAGGGAAAGTGTGACATGGGTTTTTAGGAAGTTTTTAAATAAAAGTTTAATTGTAGATACTCTCGTTCGCAGATAAAAATAGATGTCCTCCTGACATGAAAAGCGCTGTATGCATGTAAATTTGTCTTGTATTGTTTAACTTTAAATCCTTCATTTGCCAACAATCTGAGTATGTAGTGCATCTATTTACGATTTCCATCTAAATATTCCAATGAAGTTACAGAAAGACTTTAAGGATTGTAATCCACTAATAAATGGTGTTGGTCTTTTATCTGCAGGTGAAACTGAAGAGGAGGTGGTTGTCAGTGACAAATACATTGAAGGTATGTTCTGACATTCAGATGCATCCTGATACATCGCGCTTGTCTGGGGCAGGCATCTCGCACTCTGATTGTAATGGAGCATGAAAAAAGATGTCTGAATTGTGGGTCATAAGGCCACCTCCATGATATCACCAACGCTTCCTGAACATAGAAAGTCATGAAATGGAGAAAATGATTAACATTTTATGGAGCTTTTAAATGTGTTGGATGCCTCAAACTGAAAGCAGTTGTGCTGTTTCAGGCAGTAATTTGCAAATGACTGTAATAGAAAGCAATTGCAAAATGCAAAATATAAACTAGTTCCTGGGACATTGGGGAGTGGGTATGGAGGGATTTCTGTGATGTGAGTTCTGATATATGCATCCTTGTATCCTGCTACTCAGTGTACAAAGCCCTGGGCATGGGCCGGATGTATATTTTGCCATAAAATATCTAATCAATCCCTCATATTTGGTTAACTTTAAAATAAATCTTATTTTACTTTAGAATATGAAGCTCCAGTGTCTGAGGATGCAACAGAAGAATATTATGGTAGGAATGTGTTTCCGTAAAGTGTAAAAAGGGTGACTGTCAATCTGAAAATTCCTGTAAAGGTACTTTTACATTGCAAATGTAGTGAGAGATCTGGGTTCAATTCTAGGCAGGGCGAAACCTTGGACAAGTTTCCTTACTCCACACGTCTGATAATAATCCTTAAAAGTAATAAATTGGTCACTTCAATCCACGACTGCTTGTGGGACACTGCTGTGCGCAATTGGCTGCTGCGTTTCGCCCACAAATATACAGTCAATTCATTTTACAGTTTATTCAGTGAAGCGCTTTGAGACGTCGAGAAGACATGAAAAAACGCCATATCAAATGCAAGGAAATGCATATGCAAGGATTATTATTATGATTGACAGACAAAAACTAACTTCAAATAGGCACGTGCCACCTGGTGGTTACATGAGACATTGCAGGCCTGATTTTTTTTTGCAATAAGTTTAATCCATAATTATTTGAATGGCAACAGAATGATATGTTTTATAAAATTATGAAATAAAATGTTAGTCTTTTCTCAGAGCAGTCAGGAGGGCAGGATTCTCTAGGTTAATGCAGCTTTTCTGGCACTCTGGCTGAGTTGAAGCATTCTGGCCAATTGGGTCAACTTTGTGTGTTCAAGTCACATGTCAGAACTTGCACAATCTAGGCTGACTCTCCAATGTAGTGCTGCGGGTGCTTTGTATTGTAGGAGATGCTGGATGAGATATTGAACCAAGGTCCTGTCTGCCTGTTAAAGATTCCATGGCACTATTCCAAAATAAAAGGAATTTTTTCCCGATGTGCTGGCCAACAATCCTCCAGATAAAATTGATCATAGCTATTTGTTGTGCACAAATTAGCTGTTGCGTTTGCCTGCAAATTACTACAACAACAACAACAACAAGATTCCATTTATAGAGCGACTTTCACGTCGGGAGGACGTCCCATACTCACTATACTTCACAGTAAAATCCTCTGAAGCGCTTTGAAATGTCTTGATGACAAGATAAGGCGCTATATCAAATGCAACAATTGTATTTGTGGTGTGTCACCAAGTAGGACATGGATGTGGGCTTCCTAAAAGAGGATTGTGCTGATATAAACGAGCTTCTTTGGGGTACAATAGGGATAGAGGAAGGGTGACGTCTGAATTAGTAAAAATAGATTTGTCCACCTTAGATCAATACTGACACAAGAACAGAATACCTGACCTTTATATATTTATATACATTTATAGATATTGCCTCCCTGATCTGTATGATTCAGTAGTGCAAAATGTGATGTATGTAGCCACTGAGTATTTGACAGACTTGCACTTTTACATTTGATATTTAAATGATTTATTTATTAATACCAGCCACTTGCTGCATTTTAACTGCTTTATTTTTTTCCTTCAGCTGAAGAGCCTGACTATGTTCCAGGGAATGAAGATGTACAAGGTTTGCTTGCTCTGTTAAGCTGTTGACGCAGCAATTGCCTCATCAGTAGTCTGTATGAAGCCTGGCTGTCAATTTCCCCAGTTCCCTATTCAGATTGCAGTCTGAGGTCTACCTTGCACTGAAGCCACATGTCAAGTGAAGCATATTTCTACCCCCCCACCCCACCCCCCTTCCCCAAGTCCATAAGCATTTGATTGTGTTGCCTCTGGCCTCCTGTTCATCCCTCGTATCCTCCGCAGCACCATTGGTGGCCGTGCCTTCAGCCACTACACCCCAAAGCTCTGGAACTCTTTCACTCAATCCTTCTGCCTTGCCCCCTTCCTCCCCACTTTCAAATCCTGCCTAAAGACCTTCCTTTTCGATTGTACATACCCCCTGCCTCTGCCACTATCAAGCGCTCCAGGACACTACCCCGCTTGAAGGCTGCTATATAAATGCAAGTTGTGTGTGTTACAAAACAAAAGCCATTACAGGCAACGGTTACTTGTGAAGCATTTTGAGATGTTTCAATGTGATAATGCACAACACAAATGGAAGTTCCCTTATCTCTAAATTGTATTTTCATTGTAAGTTAAATATTGTTTTATTTTTCTGGATCAATGAGGTTTGATATTCTTAAGTTGGAGTGGATTTGGAGAGCAGACAGTTGTTAATTTACCAATCTTACCTGCACTAAATTTAGTTTTGTTTGCTACTTCCAATGTCCCTGCAGTGAGCCTGTTTCCATCCTAACTCACCCTAACAAGCCACAATAAGATGATATCACTCTGTACATTTTGTACACTTGTCGAGAGTTGGTTTGCAGCGTACACAGTGTGCTTTGTGACTCTGTTTTACTGCATTGTTTTGACAGAAGCCTTACCTGTTCCTGAAAAAACAGACAAAGATAGCCAGAGGGGTTTGTATTGTGCTAACATTTCATAACTATCTTTTAATTCTAACATTGCCTACCGAATGTGGCTGAGGGCAAACATAACTAATGCATGTCAATTTTATTACTTATAACAGCCTATGGATCTCAAAGCTTAGATCTGGAATCTGAAATCCAAGGTTTGTCTGACTTGGTTGTCTTTGGTCCTGATCACTGACGCATTGCATTTATTGTGTGCTGACTGTGTTCATTCATCATGTCTGGTGGTATGGTGGTAATGAGTTTTAGGCCATGAATAAAAGAATATTTTGTTCATTTGACAAACCCAGTTGCAGCAGGGAAAAACAGGCAGACAACTTAAAAGGATTTGAACACCCCCATCCACTGTGACACCTTGCTTCCTGAAATGATGTCCCTAATAGTTGTGCAGAAAATGTATTGAACTTCTGAACCATGTAGCTTGATGTTGCTTCACTACTGGTAATTGCAGCATAGTTTAGAGTCAATGTGCTTCATGCTGCTTCTAGATGTCTTTGTCAAGAAATTTTCCCTGTATATGAATATTGTATAAGTTAGTAAGGCAGAGGCAGGTTGGGCAGTCTTAGTACACTGTGTTTTCACCTCAGGGGCTGAGGTTCGTATTGGGCCCATATCGGTTAAAAGACTGATGGATTGAAAGCCTTGTTTAGCTACTGGATGTAGTGATACCACCTCAGGCCAGGACACACTGCACAAAACTTCCCCATAAGGTGATAATAATTGGCTGTATGTGTTGTTTGAAAATGTTTCTGCTTGTCAAGTTAGGGGCTGCTCTTCTATTTGGGGCAGTGTGTGGGAGCTTGTGCTATAATAGAACAGGCACATTTTCATCCTAACACGGAATGTATCAGTGTATTTAGGAGAAAACTGATGCATACTTGAAAGAAAGCAAATAAAGGAGTACAGCTGAGGGAAATAGGAGGCGTGGGGCCCCTATAGAATATAAACACTGGCATGGACTAGCTGTACTGAACAGCCTTTTTCCATGCCATATCTCTCTATGAAATTGTAAGAATACTACTAATAAGGAAAAGTTCCATTCTGCAATGCTCAGTACTAAGCAAAAAAAAACTAAAAAAAAAAACTTCATTCTGCTGTTTTCCCCAGAGCTGCAATTGAGTCTTGTTCATTTCTGGCTGGCACTGATTCTAACCTGCACCTCGGGGGGTTGAGCAGGGTCTGTGGTCACTTGACACAGTGTCTGAATGCTTGCATTGCTTGTTTGTATTATGTTGCTTCTTAATGCAGCCTGTATGTACTACATACCTCAGATCTTTTATCTGCACCAGGCTCCGTGACCCTATCACCCCCAACCTCGCCCAACTCCACTGGCTTCCCATCACACAGAGGATACGTTTCAAGATCCTGGTCCTCACCGTCAAAGTCCTCCATGGTCGTACTCCCCCTACCTCTTCGACCTCCTAACCCCCTACCATCCTGCTCGTTCCCTCCGCTCAGCAGGCTCAGGCCTTCTTCACATCCCCCGACTCACTCACCCCACTATTGACAGGCAGGCTTTCTGCCACTCTGCCCCCACCCTCTGGATTTCCATCCCGCCTCGCTCCCTCCCTTGCCACCTTCAAGACCCATCTCAAGATCCTCCTCTTCGATTGTGCATTCAATCACCCTTCTTTCCCCCCCTCCACCCTAACCTAATCCCGATCCCCGGCTAGGGTCTGAAACACTGACTCATGTTTGTCTCTTTCTTCCTAACATCTGTTTGTGTAAGTGCATCTGCTTTTATCAACTGAGGTATGTTCCCCGAGCTTGGTGCTTCTCAGAAACATGTTTGTGTCTTGCAGCTGCAGTGCCTCTTCCAGAGCCAGTAGAAGAGGTGACAAAGGAAGGTGTGCATCTCTGATTTTTATCTGTGTGTGAGATCAATCTTGCTTCTTTCTTTCTGTATATTGCTGACATATTCAGTGATTTGCTTGAATAAGGGTAATACAGCAACGACAGAAGGTGTGCATGATATGCATGTGGTGGCCTCATTGCTTGTGATGCTGATGTCAAGTTGTGCTCAAGAGTTCTAAGAACATAAAGATGCATAAGCCATTTAGCTGAGCACCTCCTTTCCACCCACACATTCATAGAAACTGTGGGCTTGCCAGTACAAAGCACTGACTAATGCCACGTGTAATAAACTGCAATAAGCTGAAACTCCAGTGCTTGGGGTGTGCTGCATTGTCAGTGGTGCCATCATTCTGATAAGACATTAAACTGAGGTCCCGTCTGCCTGTTCAGGTGGATGTTGAAGATCCCATGGTACTATTCGGAAAGAGAAGAAAGTTTCTTCTGGTATTCTGGCCAGCAATCCCCCACTTNAAAAAAAAAGGTCACTTTATGGCTATTTGTGGGACATTGATATGTGCAAATTGGCTGCTGTGTTTGCCCACAAAATAAACTACACATTCGCTACACTTTACACTAAATCTATGAAGCCCTTTGAGATGTCTTGATGACATGATAAAGCACTGTATCAAATGCGATGGATTATTATTGTCTTTATTACTTCGGGCATAAAGTAATAGTAATAGTCAGCACCACCGTGTTTGTTCGAGATTACCTTTCAGTGGGGGGCGAAAACAAATTCAGGCGGCACTGTGAGAATGTTAGCTCCTCTGATCTCCGCGGGAATATGCAGCTTAACATTCCAAATCAGGAGAGCTCGGGTTCCATCCCTGGTTTCCGCCTCACATTCTTCAAAGAGAGAGGGTTAACTTAGCAAAGTATCCAGTTCCTCAACAATCATGCAACCTCTGTTGGAAGCGATGTGGAGGCCAGGTTCAGCTGCAGTGTTCCCTGGACAGCGACTTGATACCCATGGAAGAAATCCAAAGGGGAGAGATATTGGTGGAGGCAAAATGAATCTTAGAGCTGCAACAGTTAATCAATATGTGATGGTGCTTTTCCTGTAGTCGCACAGGAAGCTGAAAGGCCTTTTGTTAAACTGATATGACTTAGTTGTTTATTATCTGAAATCAATCTGGGGAAAGGCGAAGTACATCACTGACATTCGAAAAAGAGTTGTCAAGAACCAGTCAGTGTGTTTAGTAACATGACTCTTCATTTCCTCACAGAGAGAGACGCTCCCAAGACCACTGAGGAGCATCCGGCAGAGGAAGGTATTGGTTTTAATTTCAGCTTCAGGAGAAAGAAGCAATGATTGTTCCATGTGCCTTTTCCTGAATCTAATGAATAATAATCCTTGCATTCGATACAATGCCTTTCATAGGAGGATGTCTCTAAAAGTGCTACACAAGTTTCGCCCACAAAATATACAGTCAATTCACTTAACAGTATTTTCTATGAAGCGCTTTAAATGTCTCAACGACGTGATAAGGCGCTATATCAAATGCAAGGATTATTATTACAAAATTTTACTGTAAAACTATTTTGTAGGTGAAATATCTTCATGTGCTGATCAAGGGTATTTAATTGTGTCCACGTAAAGTCAGTCACACTTGATATGGTCAACGATTCCAGGGAAGTTTACCTGTTGGGGAAATGTATATAAGTAGTGAAATAACGACATTCATAGTTAGCTATTTTTGGAACTCGTTCTGTTTAGATCTTTCCATTTGAAAAATGTTAATAGTGTAGCTAGTAAATTAGTAATGGTGCATGTAGTGGATTTTCATTCAAACTTTTGGTTGAATGTCAGCATCAACTACTATTAAGAGTTTGCCTCTCTTTCACTGTGTTTTCATGCTTCTCACTGAAGTATGCAAACCTCCCCTGAGTAGGAATTGATAGGAAGAGCTGTTCTACCCATCAAGTTTACATGAATAGAAGTGGGATTGACTGCTAAATTGGGTCTACTCCTGTAAATATGCCCCTAACCTTAAAGGTCCCATAACACTATTCTCAAAGAGATGGGAGTTCCTCTCATTATCCAGGCCAATCCCCAGATAAAATTAATCAATTCAGTTTATGGCTATTTCGGGGACATTGCTGTGCGCAAATTGGTCTACAAAATACAGTTTATTTAAAATCCTGTGAAATGCTTAGACATCTCAATGATAGGATAAGTTGCCATATCAAATTCAAGATTATTGTTAACTTCTGGATCTCTGCCCCTTCATCTTGCACCCCTCTCTCTATCTGTCTTTAAATACTGCCTAAAATTCTACCTGTTTCTCTGTGTTTACGGCCTGTAGTTTTACAGATCCAAAATGCCAAGGAGATCAGAGCTTAAAATGGGGGTTAGTTTTTGCCACTTTGTGTCAGAATGCCGCTGAGGGTGTAACCAGGGAAAGCTCATTAGCGGGATTGAGCCTGCGCAGCCTGAATTTGTGTCCCAATATTTTCTTTACCCAGTTACTGCGGAAGAACACAGTGAAGAGCATGTGTACCATGCAGAAGAGCTCACAGATGAGGAAGAACATATGGATGTTGTGGAAGTGCACACGCATGTGGAAGAGCACACAGAAGGCAATGAACCCACAGAGCCTGACCATTCTGAAGATACAGGTCAGTCAGAATTGTAGTTGCTGCAAGTTTTATTTCATTAAATGAAAAATACTCATTGGTTCGTACTTTTTGTATACACGTATATTAAAAAAAACACAATCGCTCTCCCTTTTTTTAGGTGAAGTAGAAGAGACAATGACAAGAGACGAAACTGAGCCAGGTAAATCTCCCTCCTGTGTTTGTGCTGATCTAAAACTAGCTGGTATTGACTGATGTTAATGCGTAGCAGATTGACATTTAATGTGGGCAAATGGTGAACAATGATATTAGGGAAGGAGAGTAAATAGTGAGAATCCAATCTCAATCTTCAGGGTACAGCACAGGAGAGATATTTTGGAAGTCCTCACGGAGAGTTCACTGAAATTACAGTGTACAGTGACTTTAAAACAAGAAAAGTGAGCAGGTATGTAGCTGAAGTGATCGAGTGTAAGTCACAAGGATTGAAGCCGGTTCAGCAAATATCTATAATTAGGCACCTGATTTAAGAAAAGGTACTACAGGAATGTTCACACTCGAAGGAAGGCTTATAGGAGTAATAACAATAGTAATTCCTACATTTGATATAACATGTTTCATGTCAGGAGGATATCTTCAAGCATTTCTCAGGATGTACTGCAAAATGGAGTGACTGTATTTTGTAGGGGAAGTATTCAAAGGGTGTAGGTAAACTGAACCCTAATTTGTTTAACGTTGTTGTTCCGAAATTCAGCAAAGGGCAAGTGAACAGATTATTTCTGTAGAGAATGTAGGGTGTGGATCTTAAGAACTACCCAGGAGGGTGGCAGAGGCAGAGTGTATCAGCAAATTCAAGAGGGGGTAAAAGCTGGCTAGCTGACAATCATGGTTGAGTTGCATAGAGTATATGTGCGTGCTTTTATCTTGTAACCAACCAGATGGACCTGAGTGATCTTTTTCTCAATCTATAAGCCAAGGTGGTGGTTGCTGGCAGAGATTCAACTTGACAGGTGCACACCACAGCTGAGCCTAATTCTCTCCACACCTGATGTTCACACACGCAGAGAGGGGCACTGAATAACAACAAGAGCAGGAATGATGACTTGTATTTTAATTTAAATGATGTTTGTATTTTATCTTTGCCTTTCACTTGTCCAGCGACACTGGTGGCAATTCTAGTCCCTTTTGTTGCTACCCTAACTGAGACTGGCAAGCTGACGACAAGCAATGTTTGAGGCTTGAACCTTCCTAGTATGCTTGGCACTGCTCCAGATCCAGTTGTACGTTCACCCAACAAAATATTAGGGGAGGAATTCTAGCTTGTTTTTAAAATGTTTTTAAAATCTTATAACTATGCAAACACCAAGACGTTTCGAGAGCACCTTTTTAATAGCTTGTTCTTTCCTTTCCAAAATGTTTCAGCAACTATTTTACATTCATACAATGCCTTTCACATCGAGAGGACGTCTCAAAGTGCTTCAAAGAATCGTCTGAGAGCCTGAGTTGAGAGTGGGGAGAGCTTAGAGGGGAAGAAAGGTGACCAAATACGGGGTTGGAAAGAAATGGGCTTTAAAGATGGGAATGGCGGAGGCGAGGGTGAGATAGAGAGACCAGAATGACCGAAACCTCACACACAGATGCTTGAGTTGGAGAGTTGTGTGTTTTTTTAAAAAAAAAGAAAATTGAACCTCCCAATTGTGAATCGATCCATTTGAGATTTCTAGTTATCCTTTATCTCAAATGTTTTCCATTGTTATTTTACAGAAGAGCAGCTTGGAGACACTGATTCACAAGAGGAGCCAGCTGTAGGTATGTTGAAGTATCATCCCTCGCACAAAAGAGATTTTCTTTTCTCCAATGCTTTTCTCTTTAATTCCTTGTTCTCTCCTCCCAGGCCACCCACCACTCTTCTCTTCCCCTCCCTCTTCTCTCTTTCCGCCTCCCATGATGTTTGATTTTATTTTCCTTCTGCTGGGATAAGTTTCCAGTGACACGCTCTGGTACCTCGCCGATAGCCATTGATTGGTTCATGAGCCTTGAATGTTGGAGTTCATTGAACTGTGCGTGGAGGCGGTGGGAGTGGGGAATGTATCACAGTTTAGTCTGATCTTGTAGTAACCAAAATTCACACGCACGCATCTCCCAGTGGGATTTCTGAAGCTCTCAAATTATCATGGATTTATTAGTCACATTCAGTGAAAATGTTTGTATTGATATTTTGCTCTCTTAAAGCAGCACAAACTGTATCTCTTTGTTAGAATCAAAGTTGAGGGATCACAGTGGGTTATAACTGAGCAAGATGTCTATCCCATCTGTCTAGGTTGCACTTGAAGTCAGCAAGAGACTGCTACATAAAATATCATCTCATCTCGGATCCTTTATTTACCCCCCCCACCTTGTTAAATTAAATTAACTACATTTAATACTGTGGAATCAAGCTCAGAAGAGGGAAAGTGAACAGACAGTTTAGATTTAACTACTTTAAACTAACAGTAGTGGATATGAGAAATAGACCAGCCAGGGAGGCAGATTGTATCAGCTGATTCAGGCGCGAAAACCAGAAAGCTATTTGGCAAATAAATCAATTGAGTGCATGAGGGAGAGAGAGTAGTGTAGTTATAAATGGTGTAACAAGAGAGAGTAGTCTAGTATATTATATTGGAGTCTAGTATGTATACTAGTGAGAGAGAGTGGCCAAGCTGTGAAAGAGTAGTGTAGCATTATTATCTTTTCCTTTTTGGAACTGTCTAGATGGACTATAAATGGTATTATATGGTTCCTCTGCCACTGTGACAAACTCTTGTATTTACATAGCACCCTTCACAGTAAGTCATGTCTCAGAGCACTTTACAACAACAACAAGATTGCATTTATAGAGCGCCTTTCAGGTCGGGAGGACGTCCCAAGGCGCTGGACAGTTGGGTCGGGACCCGAGCAGGGAGGAAATGATCAGGGTGAGGGGGGGAAGCGAGGGAGCGACTGATACTGTGAGACGGTGGGTGGGACAGGGAGGTGAAATGTGCCAAGTTTTTAGGTGGTTTGTGAAGACAAATCAAGAGGGGTTAAGACTGAGTGGTGGAAGAATGGAGTTCTTCATGGGGGTGGGGATGGGGGAAATAATGCCTGAAGGCTTAGTTGTTGATGGTGGATGTGGCAGTGGGATATTTAGCAGGCTGAGTTTGCAGGTTAGAGGGGTGAGCAGGAGAGAAAGGCCGGGACAATATCAACGTTAGAGAGGAACAAAGGTATGAAGGGTTTGAAGGTTAGTGTGAGGATCTTGGTAAAGATGAAAGTAGCAGAGGTTTGGATGAGCTGGAGCTTATGAATATTAGAGGTGGTGAGTCTGGCAAAGAGGGTGTTTACACATCCTTCAGGAGTGTCTGAGGGTCTTGGCAGCATTGGGCATGAGGTAGGGACAGAGCTGGGTGATTTGGCGAAGCTGCACAAGAGCATTCTTGATCAAGGGCCTTGGTTGGGGGGAAGGAAGAAAGAACTCATCTGTTTCCATTCAATGGTGAGTCTCAAACTAGGTTTAAATTTAAGATAGCCAGTAGTAGACCTAACTGGAAGTTTAGGAGGAACTTCTTCATGCAGAGGGTGGTTAGAATATGGAACTTGCTGCTGGAAACTGGTTGAAACAAATAAAATCAATGTATTTAAGAGAAAATGTGATGCATACATGGGGGGAGAAAGGAATAAAGGGAAGTAGGAGAGGTGATTAGGACAAGTAGGAGCTCGGGTGGAGTATTAATATAGCATAGTAGGTCCAAAGGCTCTGTTTCCACTCCCTAGCATTATCATATATGTAACATACATTTCCTCCTTTTAGATATTGTTTCATTTTTAAAAATTCTTCTTTTATGTACTTGTCACAGAGACCATTTCGCCATCAAAAATTGAGGACAAGCCATTAGGTATTTAGATTTTTTTATTTCCATTGGTTTTCTCTGTTTATTACACACAAACAGAAATTCTGAAACAAGTAAATTGTCCTTTCAAATGTGCACCTCTTGCAAATGTTTTTTAATATGTGAGAAGATTATTTAAAAAAAAGATTTTAAAGTCTAGTTTTGCGGGACAAGACTTCCCTTATAGTGTTAACATTTCGATGATTTAATTTCTGTTCGGTACCAAAGTTTCCTGTTGTTTCAGTCATTGCCTTTGTTAGTAATCTAGGGTTACTATATTTAATCAATAATTCCTAATCACTTCATTGCACTGTATCATTTCTCATGATTAGCAAAACCACAGCACTTAAAGGCATCTGACGTTGTAGATCTGTGTAATTTATTGTACTTGTACCAGGAAAATCAAAAAAGAAAACCTTTAGTAATAAGTAAGGGAGTTGGAGCTTTCCTGGTTTGTCTATGTTTGATTTTCTGTACCAATTGTATTCAGCCTGGGCTGTATATATATCCAAGGCTAGTGCTGAAATCCAGTCATTTCCAGCAAGTGCATTGCGCAGAGAGTGGGAGCAGGTATCTGTCTTTCTGGGTTCTAACTACTGTGAGCATTGCTGCCCATTATTTCTGGGTAATATTGTATCCTGTAACATGTCACACTATATAGAAAAACACTGCTATGAAGTTAGTTTAATATCCGTTTGATTTCTGGAATTGAAATCTAGGTCATTGCTGGAGATTGGGTCGATATTTTAATATATTATATTAATATTAATATTTATTTTAAACTGGTTTCTCTTCGTAAGGTGAACAATAGTAATTCGCAGTTAACAACTATTCAGTGCAGATTGCCCTTCCTTATGATGAGCTTTAAAATGTTGAATAAGTTTGATTAGGCTATTTTTACTGATGTCAGTAACAATGGCACACATTCAAAATAAAAAGTGGGGTAGAGCAATTGATTTTACACATTGTTAATGTCGAATGACTCACCATAAATGGGTTTGAAGCTGAGTTCGTGAATAGCATTTAATAGAGAATTGGATAAATACTTGATGAAACATATTAAAAGGTGTGGAAAGAGTTGGAGACTGAGATTATTGTGGGGGAGATAACACCAGCACAGACCATAATGAGCCAAGTAATCTCAAAGAGAAAGAAATAATAGAGAAGGAAATAGAAAGAATGTACTTTGTTTCAAAAGTATATCCACCAGGCCAAATAAATGCTGGAAAATGTGCAGGTGGATGCTGGGTGAAAGCAGGATCTCTTAGCTCTTATGCGCTCCACGGTTGACTATCTTGCTGATACTCACTGACTGGTCCCAGAGCTCAAGGACGACTGTTGGGGAAGGTGTCGGAGGGATGTTGGCACTTGTGGAACTAGAACAACAACCGCTTGCATTTATATAGTGCCCTTCATGCGGGTAGCATCTTGGAGTGCTTAGCATTGGTGTGGCTTGATGCCAAGCCGGACAGAAAGTGCCAAAGTAATAGTCGAAGAGGAAAATCTTTAGGTGTGATTTGAAAACGGGCAGAGAGGCAGCAAGACTGGTTGGGTGAGGTGCTGGTGGGATGTTGGCATTCAAGGAATGCCAGCGATTCTGAGCATAGTGGCTGAAGACTCAACCACCAATTGTGGAGCGGAGGGGATGAGTGATGTGCAGCGGTCCCATGCGCCTGAGTGAAAGTGGCAGGTAGAGGAGTGCGGAGTAAGCAGATCAGAGAGTTGAGGTGTCAGGGCGTGAAGAGATTTGAAAATGAGAATGAGGATCTTGAAATCGATCCGTTCTACAACAGGGAGCCAGTGAAGCCTGGCAAGAACTGGGGTGATGGGGGTACGGAGGCGACACCCCCAGCAAGATTCTTTAGCATCTTCAGGAGGGGAAGAAATTGGTTTAGAAATATACTCTTGAGCATCTTTATGCATTTTCAGAAGCTAATGCGAATTAAGAAATATTCAGTATTGAGAAACTTAAATGCTGCTATCTGGACTTTTATAGTCTTCTGGGCTTTGCAGCAAGTTTAACTTCATTGGCATTAACCATCATATACAGGACTACAAAAGTGGTTATGGTTGGCGCTTGCCTTGCGAGAAGACCTGGGTTCAATTCCCAGGCAGGACGAAACCTCAGGCAAGTTTCCTGACTCCACATGTCTCTATTTACCTAACAGTAATTAGGTAACAGTTTGTTAATCGATTGGTGGGTCGTTTAACAGTGATAATAATCACTGCCAAAAGAAAAATGTGGTCACTTAATCCACAACTGATTGTGGGACACTGCTGTGCGCAATTGGCTGCCACGTTTCACCCACAAAATACATAGTTGATCCACCATACAATACATTCTGTGAAGCGCATTGAGACGTCTCATCAACGTGAAAAGGGGCTATAATCAAATGCAAGGATTATTATTTAACCTTTATCTCAGAGTGGTGAGTTCAAATTATAGCCATAAAAATCTGCGCAGGGACTCACAGAAGGTGAGTTTTTGCTTTGTAGCATGTGGAATTATATTTGCTGCAGCTCCTACGCATGTCAATATAGACCAGGTGGTGTGCGCTTACAACCCAATTAAACTCTTTTACAAAACAATCCCATTATTTTCCTTCGGGGCCAGTCAGTGCCGCACTGATTTAATCCCATTTGGAAATGAGCAAGAGCATTAATTACAGCTGCCGACTCCAGCAATTTCAATTCCGCATTCTTTTGATGACTTAATTGAAGTCGCTTTTTCCAATACTCGGCAAAGCCACATATTCTTGCCGAACGGGTTTTCTTTTGGAAAAAGAAAAGTTCTGAATGTTTTTTTTTGCCAGGAGCTAGAATTCTAGAATTTCACCAAACAGGAGATTGTGGTTGTGCTACCTCTCTGAAGGAGCTTTCCAATCAGTACCTCTTCTCAGCCTTTTTTCTAGCTCAGCTGGCAGCAGTCTTGCCTCAGAGTCAGAAGGATTTACTCTAAAGTCTAGTGACTGTATTTTGTAGGTGATTATGGCCACTAATTTGCACAGGCAATGTTCCACAAACAGCCATGAAGTGAGTGACTGATTTACTTAGGGTATCGTTGGGCAGGACACTGGGAAAAGTCCCTTCTCTTTTTGAACCCAGCTTTTTTCTGCGGGCAGAGCACATGCCAACGCCATGCTGAGCAGCCTCCTAACCTTCAGGGCCAGGGATATTGACTTTGACTCAGTTTGAGACCTGTGAGCAGAAGATAGCTTATTTGGCCAGTATTGGCATTGTGATTACATTTAGCTGAAAATTCCAGTTTGCCAGACCAGTTCCCTCTCCCCCCTCCCCATTAGGTTTAGCTATCTAAGGTTTAATGTAGTTTCCATTGGATCTTTAATGTCTTTTTGATCAGGCAAGTGGCATCTTGGTTTAACATCAAACCATTGTTTTAGTGTCGCTCTTTGTAGCTCCAGTGAAGCCATCCATCTTGACCCCTATTTCCATCTCTTTCCCACACCCTTCCTCCACATTTGTTCATCTTAGTCCTTTTTAAAGGCCCATTGACCCTGCTCACAGCTGTGGCATTGGGCAACATTTAATAACAAGCATTAAGGAGATGATGCACTTGACAATGGAGGGCAGATTTGTCTGTGGTAAAAGCTTGTGATTTCATCCCCTATTTTGAAGTTTGTGTAAAAGTGCTGTAAAGAATAAAGCCACAGCACCAGCCTAAGCACTGCTTGAAAAATCCAATGCACACCAGTAAGGAGTGTCCTCTTAAAAATCCTTCCATTGAAATCCTCAGCTGTCAAAAAGTATTTTGTGAGCTCATGGTGTATCATCCTATGTGTACTCATCTAGAAAAGCAGAGCATTTGTGAAGAACATGAAGCAAGCTTGACTTAGTCTGGCATCTCGCTTTCCAAAATAATTCTTGAACTTTCTGCTCCTTCCTAAGTCCCCAAACATAAACATTGACAGCAGGCAAGTCCTGTGGCAGAGCAGAGATGTCATTTGTGTACAGGAGCAAACTGCGTCTCTCACTCAACCCAGCTGGGGAATTGCTAAGAATGATAAAGCGAATCTGGATATAAAAGTGGAAAAATGTCCACTTTTTAAGAACAAATTTCTTAGCAATCCATGAATATTTTAACACTCTTAAAGGGATTTCCAGAAGGCTGCTGAAATACATAAGAGACTGGTTAAGTACCTGACAGAGCAAGATCCACCAAGTGCCATCAATTCATTTTGGTATTAGAAATGAAATGCTATAGCTTTATTGTCAATAAAACTTCCAATGTCAGTGGCCCCATTTGGTATATCTAACCCAGGAGGTGATGCTATATTACCGTGTCTGATGGCTTTATTCATTCTATTTTATGAATTGTAACATGTTCATCTGTGCATTGATTCATGATTAATGGAAGTCTATGATAAATCAAAACAAAGCTTAAAATCAGACAGAGAGCCATGCATGCTTTTATTTTTCCATTCCCTGTGTTTCAGCTTTGTTAGCTAGAAGAATGTGCAAAGTATTCAACAGCATTAAGTTGTTTTTCTGTCTTAAAAAGGGGAAATTGAACGATGGGTGGGGTGGGGGTGTGCGAGTAGGAGGAGAAAGGGGAGAAGATAGAAGTTTGATGACAACTGTTTACTTGGTGATTGTGGTTTGTGGTGCACGGACATGTCATTTTATCAAGTGTTGTTCAGGAAGGAAAAAATACTGTTATTTTTACATGGTGATGATCTATTTCAAATGATAGGAGATGCATTGTGCTCTGTTTAATGTCCTTGTGTTCTCCGAACATGAACTAACACCAGCTGATTTGCCGTTTGTGTGTGTGTGTGTTCACGCATGAAGACCATGCCCCTCCACGTTGCCCTCTGCCATGCTTCACCTGTTTGCATACTTTCATAAAACCTTGACAATGAATGGAGCTGAGGGAGATTGATGTCTTGATTCACCCAAGATTAGAAGCCCATTATTCACTCCTGCCAATGCAGTGGTTTTGATGTTTCTTGGATGATCCCTTCTTTAAACTAGAAAAAAATGAACTTGCTCGTCTGCTATTTCTGGCACATTCCATGTAGTTGACTGATCTTGGGAGTACTTGAGCTTCTCCCCCCCCCCACCCCGCCATTCAAAACAGCTGTAGTGAAACCTGCCAAGATTTTGTTCTGCATTGAAAGTTAAAGCTCCATGAGATTTCGTTGAGGTATTTTTATTTTACCGAGAAGCGTCCAATGTTTTATTCCCTACATTTGGTATAGCACGCTTCACATTGGTCATGGCAAAGCACTTCACAGGATATGCTGTGGATAGTAATGACTGTATTTTGTAGGCAGCAGCCAGTTTGCACACACCGATGTCCCACAAACAGTCATGAAGTGAATGATTAATTTTATTTGGGGGACTGTTGGCCAGGACACCGGGACAAAATCCCTTCACTTTTTGAATAGAGCCATGGGATCTTTAATGTCTGCCTGAATGGGCAAATAGGACATCAGTTTAACATCTCATCCGAAGGATGACACCTTGTACATTGTAGCACATCCCCATCACTGCACTGGAGTGTCAGCCCTCACTATGATTTCAAAGTCCCGCTTGGGTCTTGAACCCACAATCTTCTGACTCAGAGGCGAGAGTTTCAGAAGGTAAGCATCTTTATTCTGTGAGATCCATTGCATAGAAATAACCTTTGTTTGTATTTGTGGATTCGGCCTCTCATTACAGCCTGTCTGCATGCTTGCTTCTAACTGCCCTGTTACTCACTCAGCTGGTCTGGAGGTTGCTTTGTCTGTTTTTGCTAATGAATGTTTGGTTTAGGTATATTTGTAGAGAAGCACAACACCAAATGGCAAATCTCTTACCAAAGTGTAAGCTTAAAGATCTTCATTATTCGTGTATCTAATTCCAATAGTGTTACAGAATTACGTCTGAGGGAGGCTAACTTCCGTACTATTTTAAGGCTGCAGGTATGTGAACAGTGTTTGTGTCCTTGGTTTTTTAAAAAATCCAGTATTAATGTAGTTGAGGGCTTAAAAAATGAATTACAAAAAAAATATTTTCTGAAAATGATCAGGATTGTTTTTATGTTGATAAATATTCAAGTAATGATTGTGATCGATTTTTTGTTTATTTTGTCAAGTATAATGTGTTTTTTAAGCACCCTGTTACACGTACTCAAGCAAAGAAGTTTAGTCAATTTGATTGAGTTTGAAATTTACATCCAAGATTATTCAGAAACCTTGTGTGGGCATCTGAAAACCATTTACAAAAACTTCTTACAACTAAGTGTTGACAAGACGAAAGCCATACTCTCTGGCTCCCGTCAATGTCTTCTATCCTGTGCCTCAGACTATCTCCTCAGCCTCACCGAACCACTGCGCAACCTAGGCGTCTGTTTCAGCCCACAGCCGTCCTTTCTTCCCCACATTCGGTCTCTGACCAGGTCTGCCTTCCTCCACCTCCGCCACATTGCCCGGCTCAGACCACACCTTACCCCAGATGCAGCTGAAACACTCGTCCATGCGTTCGTCACCTCCCAGCTCGAATTTTCAAATGCCCTCTTTGCTGATCTCCCCAACTCCACCATGCACAGGATCCAGCTGATCCAAAACTCTGTCACCCACATACTCAGCCGCACTAGACTCCGTAGCCCCATCACACCAGTTCTAGCCAGCCTCCACTGGCTTTCTATTGCCGAACAGATCGATTTCAACAAAAACAACTTGGATTTATATGGCGCCCTCCACGCTGGACGGTGCCTCAGGGCGCTTTACAGTAACGGATCTCAGGACCGAGCCGGGGGGGGGGTGAAGGTGACCAAAGGCGCGGTCGAAAAGAAAGGTCTTCAACAGAGACCTGAAAATGAAATGTTCAAGATCCCCTCACTCGTTTTCAAATCCCTTCATGCCCTGGCACCTCCCTACCTCTTCAATCTGCTTAACTCACAACCTACTGCCTCCGCTCAACTGTTTTCGGCCGTTTGCATGTCCCTCGTGCCCTCCGTTCCATCATCGCGGCCGTGCCCTCAGCCACTATGCCCCAAAACTCTGGAACACTCTTCCTCTATCCCTGCACCTTGCCCCTTCCTTATCCATCTTCAGATTGCGTCTGAAGACCTTCCTCTTCGACTGTGCCGACTGTCACCTACCCTCGGCTCGGTGTTGTACTCTCTTGCTATCAAGCGCTCACCCTGCGTGAGCGGCGGTATAAATGCAAGTTGTAATTAAAATAATAATCCTTGCATTTGATACAGCGCATTTTACATCAGGAGACGTCCCAAAGCGCTTCAGAGGATTTACTGTGAAGTGGAGTGACTTGTCTATTTGTGGGCAAACGTGGGAACCAATTTGTGCACAGCAATGTCCCACAACAGCCGTGAAGTGAATGATCAATTTTTATTTTGGCGAATGTTGGCTTGGCCAAGGGGAGAAACTCACTTTTCTTTAAGCATTCTCCTGAACAGGAAGACGGGACCTCGATTTAAGGTCTCATCAGACTGTATCTCCAACAATGCAACAGCCCCCAGCACTTCACTGACACTAGAGCGTCTGCATGGACTATATCAGACAATCGTCTGACTCAGAGGCGAGAATACTACCATTGAAACAAAAGGCAGTATCTCGCTGTTGTCTCACTGTCAATAGAGTTCCTCTGATAAATTAGTGCTTGTTGATGCAGTGAAAGCGACCGTTTCTCACTAACACCTGATGAGTTGTTTAACCAGGATTTCAGATTGCAGCTGAACTTAACATTGGCTTCTTCTTATCAGACACCCAAGTTTGCATTTTAAACACATTGCATCTTTAAGGCTTTGTATAATGGAGACATTTTGCATTGCGTCAATAATGCACTTCAGAAAACCATGTGCAAACAAAAAGAAAAGACTTTTCTGTTTGATCCAAGTTGCAGCAATTTTTTGACCATTGATTTTTTTTTACTAAGATTGGGCTGACTTTTGGTAATTTATCCATTTTTTGCAACTGCTGAAAGCCGCACCTTTCAGTATGTAATAATAATAATCCTTACATTTGATATTGCGCCTTATCGTGTCGTTGAGATGTCTCAAAGCGGTTCACAGGATACACTATGTATGGCTAAACAGTTACTTAATCGTAATATGTGGGTAAGGACCATGGTGCAGGATGGGTCAGTTAGATGACAAGATTTTCTGTTCTTTGAAAAGTTTAAACCACAGCCTAATGCAGTCCTTTTGACATAGTCACAGATCGAACCTCACAAATTCTAATTGCTGTGTCAAGCGGGTGTTAATTCTACCTGTAGTGTTATTTCTTAATGTAACAATGGTCTTGAATGTAAAATAACAAAGTTCTACTCTTATATGCTCCTAATGTTGTATACTATTCAGTGGAGTATGTGCCTTCAGAATCTTATTGGAAAGGATGTCTAGAGTTTACTCCCAATGAAATGGATTTATCAATCAAAGGGTGTTGCTATTTGATTAGCTTTCATTCTGGATGGGAATTTGTAATGTTATGATAAATATTTTTAAATATTGAATAAAAATAATCTTTGCATTTGATGTAGTAAGTCAGCTTGGCTCAGTTGGTAGCACTCTTGCCTCCAAGTGAGAAGGTTGTGGGTTTGAGTCTCATGTTGGGACTTTGTGCTCACATAGTCTTGATCGGGAGGGTCCAGGTTGTGTTGCTTTAGGTGCCCTCCTTTTGAAGGGACGTTAACCCGAAGTCCTGCCTATTCTGGTGAACATTAAAGATTCCGTGGTATTATTTGAAAACAAAGGAGTTTATCCTGTAATCCTGGTCAACAATCTCCCAGATAAAATTGGTCAGTGACCTTGCTTTACTGTAAATACTGTAAAGCTCTTTGAGACATCCTCCTGACATGAAGTGGAGTCCTGTATTGTGGAGTCCTGTAGCTCAGTGGTTAGAGCACTCACTTTGCAAGCGAGAGACCTGAGTTCAATTCCAGGCAGAGGGCGAAACCTTGGGCAAGTTTTCTTACTCCACACAGAGCCTAATAATAATCCCTCCAAAACCAAAAACAATAATAAAATTGGTCATTTTCAATCTACGACTGTTCGTGGGACATTGCTGTGTGCAATTGGCTGCCGCGTTCGCCCACAAATATAGTCAATTCACTTTACAGTGTGTTCTGTGAAGCGCTTTGGGACGTCCTCCCGACGTGAAAAGCGCTATATCAAATGCAAGGATTATTATGAAAGGGACTATATCAAATGCAAGAATTATTATTATTTGTGAAGTAAGTTCTATCAGAAGGTTAAACACCACAATGCCCCTTGCCAAATCAACAAGATCAAGAATGGTCTAAGGTGCAGATTAATACGATGCATCTCAGAATGCTAATCAATCAATTCCGCTGTTGTCTGTCAGGGCATTTAATTTAAACATTTGTGTTTTACAGATCTTTAACTCATCACAGAGACTTCAAACACAAATGGACCAGGCCACTCTACATTCCACTAAGATGACTTTTTTTGTGTGTTTTTCTTGTTGAAGCAAATGGTGTCCGACCTCTGGGATCGAAGATAATGTGATTTGGGCAAAAAAACACTGATTTGTGGATTTTTTTTTGCTGCCTCCCCCACCCACCCCCCTACCGCATTGTGTTTTTAAAGTGTGTGTGCGTGTTTTTTTTAAAAAATATAACAAAGTTCTAGTACGCTTTTTTGAATTATGTAAGGTGCATAGTATTTTTTTTTGCTTTACAAACTTGAAACTAAAAGGATTGCTCTTGAGGGAGCAGGCACAGACGCAATGGGCTGAATGGCTCTCTTCTGTGAAGTAAATTTCTATGCTTCTAAAGCTAATTAGGTGACAGTAACAAGTGTAGTGGTGGATAATCAGTGAGAAATCTATTAATCAGTCTGCTGTGTGTTCTCAAAAAGAAGTCTGTTCTCAAACACTGATGAGGAATTAACTTACACAAAGATAATATATAAGTTAAAATGAAAAATTTAATAACCATGTGTAAATGATTTTTATTTTTAATAAGCAGATGGCAGAGTGGACTTCGCTGAGTAGATGCAGTAAATTTTAAGATTCCATGTGAGCAAGGTGTGACCATTTAGCAGAAGAAATGCAGACGTTTAAACCTTTTACTTTTTTTTTGGAAAGCAGGTTGAAGCAACGATTTTTTTTTATGTTCAAGTAACAAATTTGGTATCAGTGCTAAGCTGTAATCTTTTTCTGTGGCATGTGTGGAATGTACCTGCCAAGACCTTGGTGTGAAGGCGATTCATTCAGATCTGCACTGACCTTTGTATAAAAAGTGGTTACAATAATGGCAGGGAGTTTTTACTAGAACACTATTTTCAGTAAGAAATTGGAGTGTGTTTTTCTTAAAACAAAATTTTTCAACGGAACTGTGATGAATTGTCAGACTTAGCAATAACTGCCCTTAACTGTGATGTACTATCATCTGTGTATGACTTTTTAAAGTAGCCTTGTGACTGAAAGTGGACAAGCATTAGTCGTAGCTCTTCTCATTTTTATGTAAAGTATTGAATTTTTTTTAAAAAAAGCCATAAAGTTCAAAAGGGTGTGGGATATTTGGGAAAGGAGATGGTTTAGTTTTTAAAAAGACGCAAGCAAAGGAGGTTGATCTTATCCAAGGTTAGGGTTATGTCACACTATCAGTGTGGTTCGTTTATTTTATCGATTGTTCTCAGCTCCCAGACAGCCAAATTGACGTAGAATATGACACATGCACTAACTGACTTTAAACTAGTCTTCGTCAATGCCATGCTGAGTAAAGGAAATTTTGCTTTTACAATTAATGTCATTTTTATTTTGTTGCATGAAATGTGGATACAAATCCTGTTGTCTTTGGGAATGTCACTTGTCAGCAATAAAACTTCCTCAAAATACTTAAGCGAGTTGTTGTTTTTTTTAAAAAAAATTAAAATACGGATTTTGATCAAGTTAAAATGTGAAATGTTTTAATCTTTTACTCTTTGGAAATGGTTGTGAAGAATTTGTTTTAGATCCAGTGCACATTCACTGGCTACAGCTGTTGTGTGAGTGCGAGGGTGAATGTTGCAGAATCATGGTGTGAAGCGTTCTTGTATCTATGATTATGTGTGCAATCGTGTCCTTCTATGTTATGCTTATGTGCAACGCTGTTTTACGTACAATTTTCTCGATGCTGCAATTTATGTTGAAAGATGCCTGTAAAAAAATCATTATTCTTAAATAAGCAGTGTGGATTGACGTTCCTTCAGAAAATGATGCATTTATTCTCTGTTTAATCTCAGTTCCATAAATAGAATATACAATACAAATATATGCATATATTTACACACACAAGTATATTTGCCCAATGTGTTGGGTACCTATTTATAATACTGTTTAATATGTACATTTTTTTAAAATGCAGAGTCAGGTAAATAGTTTCATCTTCTATATCCCTCTATAGATATTGATCACAAACCATTAAGAACAAAACATCCTCACACGGCCTGAATGTTTGCAGTTTTATTTATTAGTTTATTGCTGTTTCTTAATTTCATAGTAGCCTCGGATCTAAGTGCTCCCACACTCTATCCGGTGTGAAGGGCGCTATATAAATGCAAGTTGTTGTTGTTGTAGCCTCTGGTCTTGTGTGATCAAGTACGGGTTGTGAAGTGTTCAGGGATTAGGAACACGTTTTTAGATATTCCCTAAACCAATGTAATGCTGTTTTTGTAATCTTCCAGATAAAAGATCTGAGTCAGAAGAGAAGAAGGAAGAAAAAGGTAAGCACCTTCTTTTATAAACCAACTGGTTGTGATGGCAAATATATTCAGCAAAGTTCTTTATTGGGTGGAAAAATGTGTTATTTCGTCAGTACTCGAGAGCAGTCAGCACAGTTTTGAGTGGTCCTATTGAGTATGAATATGAAATAGTTTGCAATTTTGTGACCACTGGAACAGTTCAGTAGCAGATTGTTCAATTATTGGTGTTGAGTGAGCAATGGACTTAGACCTCTGAACCGTAAAAATGGCGGGTCCATCACAAGTTGTCCTATATAGAAACAAAGACATGAAGCAGAAGTAAGTCAAATTATTTAGTGGGGTTAAAGAGTTAAAATACTAGGGTTTACATGCTAACAATTAAGGAGCTGGGAAAGTGAAGGCAAACTTGGCATCATTTTCTGTACATGTTATAATAATTTGATTGCATTTTAGCTAGTGCCTTATCACATCTTTGAGATGTCTCAAAATGCATCACAAGATACTCTGTAAAGTAGTTGTTGTAGTAGTGACTGTATATGGTTGTTGTAGTGACTATATATTGTGTGTAAAACGCAGTAGCCAATAGCGCACAGCATTGTCCCACAAACAATCGTGCATTGAGTGACCAAATTATTGCCAGTATTTCTTTTCAAGGGATTATTATTCCCAGAAAAGTGATCCACCAATCGACTAACAACCGGGTTCCTACTTACTGCTAGGTGAACAGAGGCGTGTGAAGTAAGGAAACTAAAGAAGGCTAATACTCTAACCACTAACTACTACTTATATATTATATATACATATACATACACAAGCAATAACTTGCATTTAGGTGTCCTTCACATAGAGTAATGTCTGTGGAGTACTTTACAAGGACAGGATTAGATGCTGAGCAAGAGTCAGGGGAATTGAACCCAGGTCCTCTCGCTTGAGAGGCGAGTGCTCTAACCACTAAGCGACAGGACTCCATGATAGAGGGAGAGATTTCCAGAGGTTAGTGGCATAGAAACTGAAGGCTCGGCCACCAATGGTGGTGCAGAGAGGTTGTGGGGAGCATGCGGCAACCCTGAGTTAGCTGAGGGGTTAGGCGAGGGGAGAAGTAGGGTAGGAAAAGACCTGAGAGATAAAGAGGTGCCAGGAATGGATGAACACACGAAGAGTTACAACAGAACGTGTTAGTAGGAAGCTGTTGAATTAGTTCTGCAGGCAACTAGGTGTCTTTCTGTAGGGATTGAAGGATATTGTGAAAAGAGAAGTAGATTTGCGTGTTCATGCACTATCTTAACGAACATCTCATTGATGATGAGCTTCTGAAATCTTGTCAATGATGAGTGTTCAGCACAAAATGTGCAGAAAGGGAAGGGAATGTGCCCAAACAAATAGTGAGTGTACTGCTGAAAACTGCCAATCACAGAAAAGGGACATACACAGAAATGACTTCTTAAATCTTCGAAATATCACAAAATGAACATTTGCTTTGCGGCTTATGTATTTGTATCTAGTCAAAAGAAATCATGAATGTACTTAACGTTGGAATTTTGGGCCAATAATCTATGTTGATATATTTTTAAGTGGTTTTATTTGCCAAGGGATTTGCTGTGTAGTAATACATCCTAAATTGATGAGCTGGAATAGCATAAACAGCACGAAAATATAACTGGATTGCTTTGAATTAACCAAGATTTCATTTTCATATATCGATCAAGTAGTTGTTTTTAATTCAGTCTATATGTTTGGGGTGGGTGGGAAATAGCTTTTGTAGCCCGTGAAGATTTGCTTAATTGGAAAGATTTGCTGGTACCAAGGGTGGATTAAAGTTGCAGGGTTTCCTCACTAGATGGCACTGTATATCAAAGTATGGCTGAAATGTACTTGTTTTGTGTTCTGCATCATTATTGTACCAATGATCTGTGAAGCCAATGTGAATGTTCTTGATCTGTTGTGCTGCCAAAACATTGCTGCTGACTGTGATACAATATGTAACCTGGCATCTGTTAACCCGATAAACTGGCATGGGATAAATGAGAAGGTGGGTAGTAGCATGAATAGTTTAGAAATAGTTTCCAAGTTAAGAATGATATCTTTTCCTACCTCCCCCTCCCCCGTTTCCAACATTATATATGGGCGAACACTGTCATAAATGTTTTGATTTATGTCTGTGTGTGTGTATACAAGATATCCCAAATATTTATCTGGAATAAAAATATTCTATAGCTCTTTGTAACGCCCTTGTTTGTTTTTTAAAAATGCTTTCAGTGCCCTGACATGCTATGTTGTTTGTAAGTCCTTTTGGCTGATCTCACCCTACCAAACCTTGTTACTTTTTCCTTTATTTTTATGTGTGATTGTTGTATCAAAAGATGGAATATCCAATTGCTTTGTGGACTTTTAGAGTTAACTCGACATGCACACAATGCTGGAGTGTTAGGTTAGGAGGATTGTAAGGACGTACTGCAACGGAGGTGTTCAGATGACTTACTTAAATTGTAAGTTCATATCACTGACTTTACTTAATCCTATCTTGAAAAGTAAATGCTGGCAGGTGTTATTTATTATATTATTATAGGAGCAGGCCCTCCTCGCCGGTCTCCCATCCACTACCATCCATAAAATCCAAATCATTCAAAACTCTGCTGCCCGCATTCTCACCCACACGAAACTCCGCTCCCCGATCACCCCAGTCCTTGCCAGACTGCACTGGCTGCCTATCTCAGAGAGGATCGATTTCAAGATCCTCACCCTTGTATTCAAGTCCCTGCACTCCTCCGCACCCCACTACCTCTCTGACCTCCTCTCTCCTCAAAATAGTAGCCGTTGCCTTTGTTCCTCCGGGTCTGGCCTCCTCCTCGTCCCCCAAGTCCTCCGCTCCTTCAGCCACTATGCCCCAAGGCTCTGGAACTCCCTCACTCCCTTCGTCTCACTCCCTCCTTTCCCATTTTCAGGTCTCTGCTGAAGACCTTTCTTTTCGACCGCGCCTTTGGTCACCTTCCTCCCCTTCCCCCCGGCTCGGTCCCAGGATCCGTTACTGTGAAGCGCTCTGAGACGCCGTCCGGCATGGAGGACACTATATAAATCCAAGTTGTTGTTGTTGTATTTCCTGAAAGTTCTAAATTGCAGCTGTTTTAGTTTATTTTATTGGAAACACTGACTGGAGTGGCTTTTATGATTGGTATACCCATATCAACCTCTCTGCTCAGCAGCCTCCAGCCTGCACCACATCCCTCGCCCGGCCTGCCCCACCATCAATGGTCGGGCCTTCAGCTTCTCCGTCCCAGAGTCCCTTCGTCTTGCTCCCCCCATTGCCTCCTTCAAAGCACGTCTCAAGACCCTCCTCTTCGACCACACATTTAGACACCCTCCTACCCCTACCCTCCCTGGCCTCCACACCTCCCTGATCCCAGCCTCCTGCTCGGGTTGAAATCCCTGACTGTCCAGTGTCTTGGAATGTCCTCCTGACATGAAAGGCGCTCTACAAATGTAACTTGTTGTTTTTGTTGTTCATTCCTCCATTTGTACTCGTGCTGTAGGGTAAATTCTATCCAATAAAAATAATAATCATTGCATTTGCTTTAGCAGCTTTAATGTTCAATGTTTCAAAGTGCTTCACAAAGTTTCTGTGAAGTGTCGTGACTGTTATTTGTGGGCAGCACCAATGGGTTGTCTGTACACTTTGGCGAAACGCGGCAGCCAATTGCCCACTGCAGTGTCCCACAAACAGTTGTGGATTGAGTGACAGAATGTCGAAATCGAGGCAAACCTGTGTGATGGTCTCGATAGTCCGGTTCCTGAGCCAGGCGAGTATTTCAAGATACCTCTAATGACAGACCAGCCAGCTTGGTTCATTGACAGAACTTGGAGGGGCAGACTGGTTACTGGCAGTAGGGATACTAACCATTCTGCTCCTGTTAATCCAAAAAGCCAAGCCCTGACTGGTAGGTAGGGTGATCCTAGCTGAACAAGCACCAGACAGTGCTCTCAGTAGCGAACTACATAGTTTTATCTGGTTAAATTCTAGAAGTACCTCAGTGTACACTCTGGAGTTCCTAAGGCTTGCCTCTCTCCAGCCTGCGCCTACAATTTCCAGGTTTGGGGAAGCAGGGTGCGTCCTTCTGGGGAGAGAGTGCGCATCTCATTTCAGACACGGGACAGTTTTC